GTTATGAGAAGATGCCCCTATAGAGAGACGCTGGTCAGCTATCTCTCTATGGGTGAGACGTCCTCTAAGACTCCCTTCCTTGACATCTCGCTCGGATGCCAGAGCATACGCAGCAGCAGCAGGTCGGGCTGTCGCTTCATTGCACACGATGGTGATGCTCCAAGCATATCAGGCTGACCGGCTGAAGGACAGGGATAGAAGTCCAGGTCTGAGCCTGAACAACCCTGGGGTCATAGCCCGTCTCAGTTTGAGGATCAGAGACTGGCTCAGAAGGCTAGTGTCGCGGCTCACGCTCCTCCCCCGCCCACGGGTAGGGGTAGGAAGAATCGCGGGTCAAAGGAAGGTGAGTAAAAGACCTAAGGGATGTGATCCAGACAGGGCATCAGTGCTTTTGTCTGGATCAGAGTGATACCTCAGTATCTACTCATTTCCATCGGGGGTCTTACAACTGCCGAAAAAAAAACTTATCTTCACCTTCCTAAATTCCCCTGTAACCACCATCTCTCCACCTGACCGAGGTTAGGTGGGAAATTTCCTGCATTATAGTCTCCTATACTGTACCTATTAGGTTTGGTTGGTTCTATGGCTTCATAGTGACCATCTTACTGATGGTCTGGTCTAGAGGCTTCTCCGGACAGAGCTCCGACATGGGAACCATGGTGGGTGAGTACGATCCATGTCTAATATATGTATATATGAATATACAGTGGGTACGGAAAGTATTCAGACCCCCTTACATTTTTCACTCTTTGTTATATTGCAGCCATTTGCTAAAATCATTTAAGTTAATTTTTTTTCCTCATTAATATACACACAGCACCCCATATTGACAGAAAAACACAGAATTGTTGACATTTTTGCAGATTTATTAAAAAAGAAAAACTGAAATATCACATGGTCCTAAGTATTCAGACCCTTTGCTGTGACACTCATATATTTAACTCAGGTGCTGTCCATTTCTTCTGATCATCCTTGAGATGGTTCTACACCTTCATTTGAGTCAAGCTGTGTTTGATTATACTGATTGGACTTGATAAGGAAAGCCACACACCTGTCTATATAAGACCTTACAACTCACAGTGCATGTCAGAGCAAATGAGAATCATGAGGTCAAAGGAACGGCCTGAAGAGCTCAGAG